ATTGCACATATTTTGGGATTTTGTAAATGTATTGATCAGATATGCTAGTTTTCCCCTCTTTTTTCTTTTTGTCTGTAAAATTACCATTTGTTATGGATGACACTCTGGGAGGGCGGCGGGGAAAACTATGGTGGTATAAAAAAACCAAAGACATCAATGAAAACTTTTTTTTTTTTAATTTTAAAGATCAAGCCTGAATGGTTGCTATGAGCTTCATTCTAATTGGGCAGCACAATATCCAGGTGAGTGCAGAGTTGGCTCTAGTCTGGTCTCTACTGCCAAAAGATAGCTAGGTTGATGAGCTTTGCAGTCCTCTGGCTTAAAGAGAACAGCTATTAACAATAATGGCTAACACTTTCTAAACATCTATTTAGGGTGATGGTTAATTGAAAGTGCTATCTTCAGTAGACAAGATGATTTCCCCAGCTGAGGAGTAGTGAAGATCCATAGTCAGGCAATGAGCAGAGAAGTATTTTCATGTGGTCCAGATGTTCCTGAATAGAACAGTAATATTTTCCCCATAAGTTTAATATTTTCCCCCCAACTACATGTGAAACAATTTTAAACATTCATTTAAAATTTTTTTTGAGTTCCAAATTCTCTCCTTTCCTCCCCTCCCTTTCCCCCACCTACCTCATTGAGAAGGCAAGCAATTTAATACAGATTGCATGTGCAGTCATGCAAAACATATTTCCATGTTAGTCATGCTGTGAAAGAAAACACAGAAAAAAACCCAAGAAAAACATAGTAAAGAAAATTATACTTTGATTTGTATTCAAATTCCATCACTTCTTTCTCTGAAGCCGGATACCATTTTTCATCATAGGTCCTTCAGAGTTGTCTTGGATCATTGCATTGCTGAGAATAGCCAAGTCATTCACGGTTGATCATCACACAATATTGCTGTTACTGTGTACAATCTTCTGGTTCTGCTCACTTTGCATCAGTTCATGTAAGTCTTTCCATGTTTTTCTGAGAGCATCCTGCTCATCATTTCTTATAGCACAATAATATTTCATCATAATCATACACAACTTGTTCAGCCATTCCCCAGTTGATGGAAATCCCCCTAAATTCCAATTCTTCACCACCACTAAAAAAGCTGCTATAAATATTTTTGTACATATAGGTCCTTTTTCTTTTTTTAATCTCTTTGGAATACAGGCTTAGTAGTGGTATTGCTTAATCAAAAGGTATGCATGCTTTTAAAGCCCTTTGGGCATACGTGGAGCAGTAATGTTAAAGGCTGCAAACTGGAGTTGTGAGTTGCCCTAAGTGAAGGAGCCTTCCTCATGCATTCCTCTGTGGGCCCACTCTTTACCATAGCTACCCAACGCATTGGTGGAAGAATGTGATATGGGTTTCCATGTGTACTTTGCATTTTGTTATTTATACATTTGCCTCAATATGTTAGTGCATATAATTTATTTTGCCTTATTAAGTAAATAGCTATGTTTCAGATCTAAAAGTGTCAAAGTAGGTGGCTGGTTGTATATATAGATAGAAAACATATCGGATGGGGGCTTAAGAACTGAAGTGTTAAGTAGAAGTTTATTTCCCCTCAACAGGGTTACTCAACTAGGGCCTTAAAAGCGTTTGAATGTATCTGTATGGTGGCCCATCTCTGGGATCTTAGACCTGCTCGTGGGAGAGCAGTTTGAGGGAATGAGTCAGGCCCATAGAAAAGTGGGACGTTTAACTCCACTAGGCCTAGATGAGGGACAGAGTTAGTTACTAGTGATATAAACATTCCTACTGTGACACATTATCTGGTGTTATATTGTGGGGCTATTGGAAGATTTATTGTTGTTGTACAGTTATTTCAGTTAGTCTGACTCTTCATGACCCCATTTGAGATTTCCTTGGCAAAGATACTGGAGTGGTTTGCCATTTCCTTCTCCAGCTCATTTTACAGATGAGGAAACTGAGGCAAACAGGGTCACACAGCTAGTGTCTGAGGTAGGATTTGAACTTAGGTCTTCCTGACTTCAGGCCCTGTATTCTATCCCCTGTGCCAAGCAGCTGCCTTATGTGCCCTAGCACATAGTAATAAGTATGTCATTGGAAAATTCCACCCACCCATTACTGTCTCATTACAGAAGTACAGCATAGTCCCCAGGCGTTTTTAAAAATAGGTTCACAGTCCAAATTAGGATGGCAGGGATGTTTAACCAGAGACAAGCTATAGCAATTGGGATTTTGCAGAAAGAAGTTGGATTTAGGCACCATATTCTTCTTAGCCATATGCTTCAGTAACCAATCATGTTATTTCATCCAGAAAGGGACAGCAATGCTCCAAGGAGGCTACCCTGAAAGAAATGTGTTTGGCAGAAAAATTTAAATGAGAGTCTGGGGGACCTACAGAGATTAGAGCAGAGATTAGACCATAATGAAGCATGAAGAGGCATCTAAGAGGGTTTATAAGAAAATAGATTAAAAGAAGTCCAGAGGAGATAAAAGGAATAAACAATTATTATTACTATTATTAATTATTATTATTATTATTATTATTATTATTATTGACATTTATAAAGCAATTTAATATTCATAAAGCACTTTCCTCACGGAAGAAATAAAATTTATTTTGTATAAACTTAGTATGAAAAGGCAGCTTAACAGGGTGGCTTGAGTGGAGCTCAGAGCTAATAAGACATGATTCACATCTCACCTCTGAAACATACTAACTGCATGACCCTGATCAAGTCATTTGATGTCTCAATGCTCACTCTCTGACTATAAGTTGCAGAAAAGGAACAATCTTAATTGGTGGGAGTTTTCTCATCTGAAAGTCCCCATACAAATAAAATAATAAAGTGCTGGACTTGGAGTCAGGAAGACCTGAGTTCAAAGCCTACATCAGACACTTAATTAGCTGTGTGATCCTGGGTAAATCACTTTACCTTTGTCTATCTCAGTTTCTTCATCTGTAAAATGGGGATAATCTAGCATCTACCTCCATGGGTTGTCGTGAGGAATAAATGAGATAAAGCATTTTGCAAACCTTAAGGCTCTCTATACATTGCTCAGTCGTTTTAGTCAGGTCTGACTCTTTGTGTTTTTGTGTTTTTTTGTTTTTTGCTTTTTGGTGAGGGCAATTGGGGTTAAGTGACTTGCCCAGGGTCACACAGCTAGTAAGGGTTAAGGGTCTGAGGCTGGATTTGAACTCAGGTCCTCCTGACTCCAAGGCCAGAGCGCTATTCACTGTGCCAAGTAGCTGCCCCAGGTCTGACTCTTTGTGACCTCATTTGGGGTTTTCTTGGCAAAGATACTAGAGTGGTTTGCCATTTCCTTTTTACACGTGAGGAACTGAGGCAAACAGTGTAAAGTGACTTGCCCAGCTAGTAAGTGACTGAGGTAAGATTTGAACTCAGGAAGATGAGGCTTTCTGACTCCAGGCCTGGTCTTCTATCCACTGGGCCACCTAGCAGCCCTGTAAAGCACTATATAAATGCTAGCTGTTATTGTTATTGTTATTATCTCTATTTTGCATAAGAGGCAGTACAAAAAAAGGAGATAGCGAATTGGGAATTCAGATTCAGGGAAGACCTGAATTCAAGTCCCATTTCTGACACATGCTGGCTGTGTGACCTTGGGCAATTCACTTTTCCTCTCTGTGCCTGAGCAACTCTCTAATTCTATGAAGTTCAGAGAAGACAATGATTGCATTATCAGAGGCCTAGAAAAAAAAAAAAGGAAATGTTGTGTGTATACTTACATAACAGTCCTCATTTATCAAGCACTTCGAAGTTTGTAAAGCATTATACATGTTATCTTATTTGATCTTCACAATAACCCAGTGAGATCAGCAGTGCTATTATTAACCCCATTTTACAAATGAGAAAAATTAGTCTGGGGGCAGCTAGGTGGCACGGTGGATAGAGCACTGGCCCTGGAGTCAGGAGGACCCGAGTTCAAATGCAGCCTCAGACACTTGACACTTACTATCTGTGTGACCCTGGGCAAGTCACTTAACCCCATTGCCTAGCCAAAAAAAAAAAAAAAAAAAGAAAAGAAAAGAAAAGAAAAGAAAAGAAAAGAAAAGAAAAGAAAAGAAAAGAAAAGAAAAGAAAAGAAAATTAGTCTGGGAGAGGTTAAATGACTTGCCCAGTATCAAACAGCTAGTAATGTCTAAGGCAGGATCTGAACTCAGGTCTTCCTCCCTTTGAGTCTAGCACCCCACCCACAATATCATTTTCTATGTATGCATACTGTCTCTCTCTATAGAATGTAAGCCCCTGGAGGGCTGGGACCACTTCATTTTTGTCCTGATATTCCCATTGTCTAGTACAGTGACTGACACATAGTAAGTACTTAATAAATGCTGTAAAAGGAGTGATTGATTGACCTAGGAAAACTGGAAGGCAACACAATACATGTCCTATTAAGAATTTAGAGAATGGGGAAGGAAATAAGCATTTATGCAACACCTACTATGTGTTGGGCACTGTGCTAATTGCTTTATAAATATCACCTCATTTCATCTTCACAACAATCTTTGAGGTAGGTGTTGTTATTATCTCTATCTTACAGTTGAAGAAACTGAGACAGACAAAGATTAAGTGACTTGCACAGGGACATGAAGCTAGTAAGTGTCTGAGACTGGATTTGAACTCAGCTCTTGCTGACTCTATTACTTAGCAGGCATAGTGGTTTGAACTCACAATAAGCTTATGAAAAGAATAGTTACTGAGCTCTCCTTTCTATTTTGGTGGGCAAGTAGGCAGTTAGTGTTTAGTCCATGAACTTAGGGGTCCATTCTTTGTGGATGCCCACACTGTCCACTCAGCCCTCTCTCTTGACTAAAGCTCAGTTTCTCAGAGGCTTCATTCACCCACATACCACATTTGTAACTTTAAACCTTTTTACTCCTGGTTATATCTTGCAAACTGCTTATTCCACATTCTCCAAGGTGAGCAAAGAGGGTGGAGTGCTTCTGGCACTCCCAGAGAAGGCATATAAGTAAGCCACGCACTCTGGGACAGACCGTGGTGGGACAGGCATCCTAGGGGCACCTCCCCTGCCTGCTCAACAGGCTCTGACTATCATGTTGTTCTTTACTTTTCTCCTGGCAGACCCCATTGGGATTGCTCTTCTGGGGGCTCTGCTCTTCTGGGGGCTGTTCTGCTTCACCCGACCCAAAGAGCCAGCTGGGAAGTGGCCCCCTGGGCCAACTCCTCTCCCTTTCATTGGGAACCTTCACTTGCTGGATCTCAGGAGACAGGACAAGTCATTGATGAAGGTAGGACTGACTGCTGTCCCCTTGCAAGGACCAGCTTCTCTCTCAGTAAGACGCTTAGCTCTGGGGTTGGCGGGACTGGCCAAAGTGGTCTTGGGACCTCGTTGTCTGCAGCTTCCTCCAGCCTGATGTGGGTGAGTGTGCTACTGAGAGGGTTTTGTGGGGGAAACAGGCAATAATTTCCCACTATCCTCTTCAACAAGTGTTTATCAAGGGTGTAGGGAACAACACTGGTATAAGACCCTGAGTGCAGAAGAGTGAGAGAATATTGTTGGTTGGAGTAGCTGGGGGGAATCTTCAGAATGGAAGGCAACTTTACTTGAGCCCTGAAGGATATGGTTATCCAAAGAAAAAAGGAAGTGGGGTGCTGGTGTAGGGCTCCCCATCTTTTGTTGTTGGGTCTGATTCTTCATGACCCCATTTGGGGTTTTCGTGGCAAGGATACTGGAGTGGTTTGCCATTTCCTTCTCCAGCTCATTTTATAGATGAGGAAACAGGCAAACAGGGTTAGTGACTTGCCCAGGGTCACATAGGTAGGAAGTGTCTGAGGCCAGATTTGAACTCAGGTCTTCCTAACTGCAGGGCTAGCATTCTATCCACTGCACCACCTAGCTGCCCACCCATTACCTCTAGGATCAAATACAAAATCCTCTGTCTGGCATTTAAAGCCTTTCACAAGCTAGCCCCTTCCTAACTCTGGGTTTTCTTACACTATATTCCCCTCTACACACTCTACAATACAGCAACACTGGCCTTCTTGTTGTTGCTCTATCTCCTGTCTCTGTGCCTTTGTATCCTCAGCCCTTAGCACACTGCATGGCACATAGTAAATATTAAATAAATAGTTGTTGACTGACATCACAGTTCAGGAGGGATGTAGTACAGGATGCTGTGGAAAGCATGTGAGATCTGCAGTCAGAAGACCTGGGTCCAAATCCTGCCTGGGACACTTCATACCTTTGTGACCTTGGCCAAGTCACTGGACTTCTCAGGATATCAGTTTCTTCACCTGTAAAATGGGAAGCTCAGACTGGATTGCTTCTAAGGTCCTTTCCAGCTCTGTCTATGAGCTTATTATGAGCAAGGCTTCTAAGGCAAAAATGAGCATGATGCCCACCTGGACCAGTGTGGGGAATGAGCTTTTAGGGGAGGCAGGGAAATAAGCATTTATTAACTACCTGCTATGTTTCAGATATAGTGCTAAGTAGTTTTCCAAATTTTGCCTCATTTGATCTGTTGAGTAGTGTTGGATAAGTGATCTTATTTCTAAAATTTTGACTTAGGTCTCTTAAGCTGCTTGGTGAGTTGCCTCTGAAACCATACCAATGGAGCCATCATTGGTAGAGCATGTCCTTCAAACTGGTTTCTGATGGAGTTGCATTGAACTCTCCCCATCCTTTCACCTGTTTCCTTTGGTGATCTGTGGCAATGAGGAACTAGATGCCCATTTAACAGGTCACAACCTCTCTGTGCCCCAGTTTCCCCATCTATAAAAGGAGGGGGCTGTACTCAATGACTTCTATGGTCCCTTCTGGCTCTAAATCTATAATCCTCTGATCCTATAATCCCTGGCCATGCATGAGACCAGCCCATTTGGCATACACTCAAACTGGTGACTCATGATATGCTTAGACAAAACCATTAAAATCTCTTGTGACTTCTTTCCTTTCTTTGTTTAATAACGTACATTTACAAAGCACTTTTCTCACAACAACCTTGTGAAAGAAATGTCACATGTATTGTTATCTCCATTTGACAGATGAGGAAACTGAGGCATCAGTCAAAGTGTCTTGCTTAAGGTCACAAAGCTAGTTAGGGTTAGATCTGTGTCTCAAAATCAGGTGTTCAATTTCCAAGACTGGTACTCCTCCCACAACACTACACCAATGATTAAGCATTTGGTGCAGTAAGGCTCCCAGGAATTAGAACCCTCAGGCAATGAACCTTTTGGTTAACTTATATTTCTTGTCAGTTGAGCGTTTAATAGATAATTACTTCAACCTTTGCTGAAAGTGAAGATACTTTAGCCTACTTTCCTGCCTTAGCGAATATAGTGGAGTGGATAGGGCTGAATCTTGCTGTGTTGAGTGGAGGGTCTGAGCAAGCAGTTCAGGATTATTCATTCTCATTGATTATGGACTAACTGTAGCTGTAGAAAGTAGGAAATAGATACTACATGGTAAATGTTGCAAAAATTGTTCAGTCATTTCAGTTGTGACCAATTCTTTGTGACCCCATTTGGAATTTTCTTGGCAAAGATTCCAGATCATTTTACAGATGAGGAAACTGAGGCAAATAGGGTTAAGTGACTTGCCCAGGGTCACACAGCTAGTAAGTGTCTGAGGCCAGATTTGAACTCAGGAAGATGTCTTCCTTGACTCCAGCTCCAGAACTCTATTCACTGTACCACCTAGCTGCCCCTTTGAAAAAATTATCTAAGTCTTTAATTTAATGATCTTACTGTTGGGAATATGCTGTGGAAGTGTGTCATAAACAAATAAATGAAGAGAGCTATCTGTTCAAAGATATTCATAGCAGTATTATAAATGATTGAAAAAACAAACTATCATGGAAACAAGTTCAGTGTCAGGTAGAGGAATAGTTAAATAGTTTTTGGCACATTCATGTAATGGGATACTATAAAGCAATCAGTTAAGCAATGCACACTTATTAGCCTCTAATAATTAGCACTTAGTATGTCAGCTTTGTAGTATGTGATGTCGTGGAAAGTGTGTGAGATTTGGAATCAGAGGACCTAGGTTCAAGACCTACCTTTGTGACCTTGGGCAAGTCATTGGACTTCTCAGGATATCAGTTTCTTCACCTGGAAAGCCCAGAATAAAACTGGTATCTCAGTATACCAATGAAAAAGAAAGATCAACAAGTATGTAAAATAAAATGAAATCCTGAAAAGCTTTTATGAAAGAATTTGAAGTAGGGAAGAAAACAGAACCAGAAGAGAGGACCACATACTAAGTCCACCTAAGTACATACTAAGTACTAAGAGGAAAACTGAATGAGAATAAGTGGACCAAAAAATCCTAATGCAGGCTTAGAGGAAGAAGTTGTTATGAAATTGTTATGTTACTTTACCCACTGAAAAGAATTCAAATGTAAATAGTTACACAGCAAATTTAGTTGGCTTCATTGACGTTTGACATTAAGCTTTTAATAAGGCATTAAAAAAACAAAAACAAAAACGATAGGATCTGTGAGTGTACATAGAAGGAAATGGTATTCACCAAAACAGATCAGCAACTGTTCTGGGCAAGTTATAATCTTAGACTTGTCCAAGGTCCTGCAGTCAGCATGTATCAAAGGTGGGATTCGAACCCAGGTTTTCCTGACTCAGAGCTTGACATTCCATCCATAAAGCCACATTACCTTTTAAAGAAACACCTAAACTTTTAAAAAAGGGATGGGAAGCTTCAGGTACTTGACGGAGTAGATACTGAGTGCAGGGGAGCCCTGTAATGAATCGTTTAGACTAAATCTTTTCTACGAGTCTATTTTCTTCTCATCTATTTCTCCTTCAAAGCATGGCTCCATACTTATCAATCATTTTAGCCTCTAGAGGTGGAAGAAAATAAAAACATACTAGTCTTTACTCTCCTTGTAACTCCTTATTCCAGTTACCTGGGGTCCAGTCTTTCAAATTTCTACTGGTTTTTTTTTTTAAATAGAAGATAGTGTACAAATTAGAGGCAGCAAGAGAGGCATGGTGGCTTCCAGGTCTAGAAGAGCTGGGTTCAAGACCTGCCTCTGACTCATACTGCTTGTGTGACTCTGACACCCCCTAGTAACTCTCTGAAAACAACAATTGCCAGTTTGCATTATTATATAACAGCAATTGCCAGCTAATAGTGGTGCAGTGGATGTAGTGCCTGGACTGGAGTCAGGAAGACCTGAGTTCAAATGTAGCCTCACAACACTTACTAGCTGTGTGAACCTGGGCAAGTCACTTAATCCTATTTGCCTCAATTTCCTCATCTATAAAATGAGCTGGAGAAGGAAATAGCAAATCACTCCAACATCTTTGCCAAGAAAATCCCAAATAGGGTCATGAAGAGAGTAAGACAAGGGTCGTGACTGAACAACAAAAACAAAAACTTAACAATTTGCATTGGCTGGAGGGATTTCTACCTGAAGTTCCCTAAGTCAATGCAATTGCAGATCTGACCATAATTAATAAATCAATAATGAAAAGAGGTTTGTCATTGGGTCACATCATCTGAGTTCATATCCTGTCCCAAACATATAGTTGCTAGGTGACCATAGGCAAACTACTTGATTACTTGGTCCCCTTAGGCAACCCACACCTCAGTTCTCCACACAGATGAACTCACAGGTCCAGTCCCTTCCCCCTGTCTACCCCTCTTCCCCACAAATTATATGTGGCAATAGAAGAGGTACTCACATATGTAGTGAAGGGGTCTATATATTGCAAGGGGGGGCTTGTTTCCCCCCCACTTAGCAATATTTTATTATTTCCAATTACATGTAAAAATAGTTTTTAACATCCACTTTTATAAGATATTGAGTTCCAAACTTTTTTGTTCTTTTTTCCCTGCTCTCCTCCCCACCTCCCACAAGATAGCAAGCCATCTGTTATAGGCTACACATGTACAATCATATTAAACATATTTCCACATAAGTTATATTGTGAAAGAAGAATCAGAACAAAAGGGAAAAACCATGAGAAAGAAAAAAATTTTAAATAAGAGAGAAAATAATATGTTTCGATCCACATTCAGACTCCATAGTTCTTTCTCTGGATGTGGATAGTATTTTCCATCATGAGTCTTTTGGAATTGTCTTAGAACATTGTATTGCTGAGAAGATGCTGTTACTGTGTACAATGTTCTCCTGGTTCTGCTTACTTCACTCACTTAACTCAGCATCAGTTCATGTAAGTCTTTCCATGTTTTTCCTGAAATCTGCCTGCTCATCAATTCTTATAGCACAATAGTATTCCATTACATTCACACACCACAACTTATTCA